CATATTGCGATTAAAAAATTTTGATAATTAAAAAAAATAAAAAAAAAAAATATTTTTGTATTTTTTTAATATTAATAATTTTTTTAATATAATTTTTGGCACACGCAATTTTCCATCCCTGGTTTTGGCAATAACAACATACAGCTTCACACGTAACGTTTTGTTACTGCTCTATTTTGTTTTTTACAAACAACAGAACTAGGCTAGATTAGGTTTGACAGGTAGTCTTAAGTGGGTCCAATATTGATCCCTTTGTAAATAAATATGTAGGTAGAAGGCAAGAAGATGGCGGAATTAGAGACAGTAAAGGGAGAGAGATAAAGGAAGGTGTATTGAAAGCTCTAAAGTAACATTTGATAGATCATTAAAATAAGTTGAGCCTAAGGTTCGAAGTCGGCCCATTTCCAAAGCTAGACAATGCCAGAGGAGATGGGTTCCTCTTCATCCACATTTATACAATTTCTACAGAAGTCATTATACGGTAGACCAATGCGCCTAGCGTGGTTGCCAAATTTGTAAAAGCCACTTATAATCGATACCATATTATCTTACTGAGGTCTTTGAAGACTAAGAAGATAGGAGGTCCTATGTTGGGCCATATCGTTTTAGAGAGTATGTTCACTATGAGGTTGTCTCGGATTTTTGCACATATCTTCATTATATATGGAACAATTTTGCTGATTTTAAATAGAAAACTTCTTAAAAACATGTCTGACTGAATTATTGAAGAGACCCAAATATTGAAAGAGATAAATTTTAAGATCTATGACTTTTTACAGAGATGTAGATTAAGTAGAAGACTAAAAACACACTACTGTCTCTCCCGTAAAATTTTGAAAAGTGTTGTATCTAGGAAACCCAAATATGCAAATGTATTTTTTTGTTGGTCTTATTATGGACTCATGGTCACGATATTAACACGTTTTAGAACAATTTAAGAATCATGGCATTGATTTATTAGCACATACTACATGTATGTATATTTGCATAATTTCCCCGTACGACCATAATTTGGCGTGATTTGAGTATAACAGCATATTAAGTCATTTTTTGCTTTAGCGCCTATTTTGATATATTCTATATTATTTTTTTAAATGTATTTTTCACAATTTGTCTTTTAATTTTTATTTTTTTTTTTTTTTTCAATTATATGTTATTTATGTTATTCAAACAATGTTAGTTATTCAAACAATGAGACATGAAATTTTGCTTATTTCAAAACATAATTTCCACTCCTTTGAAGTCTCCAATGCTAAAAAATTATTAAAACTTTCAATTTTAAAGCATATTTAAAAAATTTCAAAAGCATATTTTTCGTTATTACTGCATATTTTGTTCGCATAAAATACTTTTTTTACAGCATATTTTATGGTTTCACTGATTGTTTTTAGTTTAAACAAATTTTTAGTAATTCCAAAACTAGCAAAATATGTACTATAGGACATTTAATGCCTGGGCAGTAATTTAGCAGCTATAATTTCAGTTCTTGAATTTATTAAATATTTACTTTGAAAAAATTTTGAAAATACCTTAATTCCCGAAGAGTCTTGGCAACCCGGGCACTTCTATAGTAGAGCAATTGCACACATTTAACTACATAGCGATTTAGCAATGCAAACACACACACATACTTTTAAACATTCATACATACATATATATTTTGTTTAGCATAAATATTATTTTTATTGCTTCTCTTGCACAAGACTTTCTTACATTTTGTGATATATTTTTATTTTGTTCTTGTGCTTATTCTTGACTTTTTTCCAGCTTCTTCTTCATGCACTCTTTCTTCCGCAATTTATTTACATTAATTTTAATTATTTTCAATTTTTACACCATACTATTTCAATTTTTTGTAAAAATTCATTTAAAAATGTGCACACTACTTTTTTAGATAAATTAAAAATTATTTCTAAATTTCTAGCTACGAAAATTTTCAGCACTAGAAGAAGACGAAACAAAAATAAAAAGAATTAAGAAAACGACGTATTGGAAAGATAAAAAATACAAAAATTCTTTTCTATTGAGTGGACAAGAACATAGCAGATGAAAAACAAAAAAAAAAAACATGGATGAAAAATCGAGGAATTGTACAAGAATCTTATAATTTTTAGCAGCACTATTTATTAAACATTGCAAAACATTAACAAATATTTATGTTAACAAATTTTGAAAAATTTTCTTACAAGAATCAAAATCAAACAACAAACATAAAATAAAAGAAATTAAAATAAAAAAACACTAGCACTTGTTGCGGTTACATTTGCTTACATTTTCTTCGTTCTTTAGTTTAGCACATTCTTTAGTTTTTCTTTTTTTTTAATAAATTATAACAATTTTATTTTTATATTTTTATTTTTTGTTTTATTATGTCAATTTACTTATCGACGAGTAAATTTTTTTACTTTTGGCGATTAACTAGTTATTTATTTTTTTTTTTTTTTTTTTTTGTTAGAGAGCAACGAGTGATCTTTAATTTCTTATTAGCCAGTTGAACATTCAACTCGTTACTTTAGGCAATGTGAAGAAAAATATGAGAAATTATTGCTTGAAAAACACTTTAAATTCAACAATTTTGTAAAGAATTTTAACACTTTTTGGTTGTTTCGCATTGGGAAGTTGATTTTTTACACTTTTATTAATTTTATACGTTTTAAAATCGTATTTTTACAAAGATTTCAGCACAACTTTTTCACATACGTCTAAGTAACAAACAAACAAAGTCACGAATATTAAATCAGTGTTGCTGAATTGTTTATTTGATTCTAAACAGAGTTGCAGTTTAATGTACTCATAAACAGCAATTTATCCCGTTGCTATGTGGTGAATATATTAAAAAAATATCGACAAGAAATTACAATTCGATTTGAGAGATTTTCAAATGTATGTATTCCCAAAAAATATAATTATATTTTAATTAATATGGAAAAAATATTTTTTTTTCAATTTTACAAAAAAAAAAAAAATATTCTTATTTTTAATTTGTTTAAAAAATAGTTTTAAAATTTAAATTTTATTTTTAAAAGTCGATATTACGAAGGGTGTCATAGCTCAAGCATTAAATTTTGTTTAACTTAATAATAAAAAAATAAAATTCAATTTTTTCTAAGCAATTTTAAACTCTGCAATGCTTATTATGCATATTTAGTTGTGAACATAAATTACAACTATATATGAATATTATATATTTCGAAATTAATTATACATTTCAAGCTCAAAATCAATTTTAAGAAACAACTGACAATTATTTATTTTATTAAACTTTAAAATGCCTTAAAGTGCGAGTACACAACTCGCGTTGTACGCGGCAACGCGTTATAGGCTTCTGTCGAAAAAAGTTGAAATAGTGTATTTTCATTTAACAAGTTACATACTGTAGCTTGTAACGCGTCTGCGGCGAAAAGTGATGCGTCGGCAGACGCATCAAAAGAATAATAATTTTGTGTGTAAGAATAATAAAATAAAATGAAATAAATTTCACCAACAATGAAAGAAAAATATTAAAATATAAACAACAACATAAAATTTTGATTTTTAAAACAGTAATAGCCTTAAAAACCTTAAAGGAATGATCAAAATGACCACTTTTTATGATGTAAACTCTTTTAAACTACTGAATATTTTTGTACATGAAATTATACCCCGATTCTGTCAGTTCGACTTTGATCGATAGTACTTTCCTGGGGAAAAACTTTCGGTTGATACAGATGACGCTGAGTTGGCATTCTTCGGCGGAGTACGACTCAAGTCGTTCCGGAGTGAAGATCAAATTATCGTAACGAAAAATCTCTCACAATCGGTCATGTCCAATTTTCAAATACATATGTATGTACATATAAAAAACAATTAATTCGCCCGTTTCTCAATCAACTCCACCCTGTATAAATTCGCCATGAACAAATGCTGCCAGAGTAAAAAAAGCGGCAACTGTCATCTGTTTCCCTTCTAATTGACATTTAACTATTGTGAATGTTTATTTAGATTGTCAACATTTCACAAATGTTTGGTTATATTTTGAACGACAAATTTTATTAATTTTTATAAAAATATCAATTAAATATATTTCACAATGGGAAAAGTAATGTCCATGGTATCAAGGAAAGTGAATCGCTTTAATGTAGAGAATCGAGCACATCGTATATTGGAAAGAGAAAAGCCGGTAGCGGCACCAAAGTATGAAGGAAATCTAAGGGATATGGAGAGAACTATGGAATGTAAATGCAATAAATATACATTTAGGACTTTTATAATTCCTTAAAAATACTAATTATCAATATTTTACAGTGGATCCCAATTTTCTGGAGAAATTAAATAAAAAGGACAGCGCTTTAGATGAAAGACTTAAAAATGTTTATGTAACCTCGCAGGACAGATTTGTGAGTAGTTTAGTATACAATCGTTTTAAATATATTATATACCTTTGATTATGATTGATTTTTTATGTGTAATATAATTATCTTTATATAGATTGATTATGGCCTAAAGCGGAGTCAATCATCGGAGGATAAACAATTACCTTTGGATCGTCATACACCCGAAGATTTTGAATTCGGTTATATGGAACCACAAAGGATCACAATTGGTCGCTGCACCTTGAGACAGGCTTTAAAGTTTATAACAGATCACCAGTCAGAACCGGAAAAGTGGACGCCTGCTAAAATTGCTGAGGACTACAAAATGAAGCCAGAGTTAGTTGGTAAGTATAAATTTTACCACAAATAATTTTAAATAATTTCAAGTTTTTTTCCAGATAATATATTAAAATACTTTAGAAGTTATAATATTTATATACCAGATCAGAGAAGCAGTAAGGATTCTATATTGACACAAGCCAAACGACAGATGTTGACAGATAAAACCAAAGATGAATCTTAAAAATTTAGCGGCTACAGTGTAATGAATGAATACTTTCCTAAGTAATTTTGTTATTGTAAATAAAATGTATGCAAAAAAGATAAAGGCATATGGCCATAAAATTGTTAAAAGTATGTAAAATAGGGTTTCTTTTGTCAAATTAAAAAAATTGTATTTACTTTTTCATACGACAATATTTGGTGGACAATTATACAAATTTAGTGATTTGTCCTCAGAAACGGAAATAACTTTATCATTTCCAGGACTATATTTAACACCCCAAGCCTGATCACTATGATCGTTGAAGGTATGCATACATTTACGTTCAGCAAAATCCCATATTTTCACCGAACAGTCACTTGAAGAGGAGGCAAAGTGTTTGCCATCTTCCGAAAAGGAAACACACAATACCCAGGAAGCATGACCCGATAATGTGCCGGCAACATCAGAGTGTGCCCTAAAGTTATTGAAAATTAAACAAATTTTATAAATACAAAGAGATTTGGACACTTACACATCGTATAGTTTCATATGACCATCATCGGATGCCGTCAACAACATTTGTGAGTTGGGCGAGAAACATAAACTGCGCACCGGCATAGCATGACCTTCGAGAGTTTGAGCTACTTTTCCGGCAGCCACATCAAATATGGTAATGATACCATCTATAGCTCCACTGGCTATATACTTGCCATCAGGACTCTTGTATACAAATTGAAATAGTTAAGTTATTTTATATTATTTACTAATACACACCTACTTACATATGCTATACTTAAAGTGAATTTGCCATTTTGTGCATCTAGTACTTGCTCCACTTTGCCTGTCTCCACACTGTACATGGAAATCTTGCCTTCATTGGAGCCAGATATCACATATTTGTCGCATGGTGAAAATGCTACAGTCCACAAATCTACGGGACCAAAAGATAATAAATGCTGTTGTTGGCCACTTTGTGAATCCCAGAAACATAAGCTGGAATCCAGAGAACTGCTAGCAATGGCTAAAACATAAGAAAAATATAAGCATAATAGTTTCGTAACTATCTTAACAATTTACCTACTTTTGCCATCCGAACTTACTGCCACCGACACCACACCCAAAGAATGACCCTTAAGTTGATGTCTCAGTTTTAAAGTATTATCTTCTCGTATATCCCACACCTTTACTAAATCATCTAAACCACCTGTTACTATAAAATCCACTGGCGACTGTTCCGGCTTATCATCCTTTATAACAAATTCTCTACTTGCCTCGGGATCCTTCTCTGTTTCTTCTTCAGCCGGCTTTTCTGGTTGAGTACGACCCCAAGCACAAGACCAAATGCCATCTTCATGGGCGCCTTCTTCTTTGTGTAGTAGAGAAAACTATAATAGAATTCGATTTAAAAGTTTTTTTTTTATTATTTTGAATTAAGTTTGCGTTTACCATTCTTGTCAATAAAATTTATTATGAAAATTGAATTGAAAAATTAAGCAAAGTGCAAAAAAATTAAAAACAAAAATTGCAGATATATTTACACGTGTTATTCACTGAGAACTGATAACATAAACTGTGAGTGAATAAAACAAAAGGCGATGGAACAAAACAAAATGTAATACAAAATCAGCTGTTAACCAATGTTGCAATTTGTTAAATTTACACAACAAATAATACTACTCCATACTATATAGAATCTGTAGTTACAAAATTTTACCAATTTTTGTCCACTCTTTTCGACTTCTTCTTAAATCTTTACCTTAAAACATAGCTGTAAAATAATGATTAATAATCGTAATCATTATTAATTAGATTATTTTTATTAAAAAGGTAAAATTAATGATTAATTAACGATTATTTAAAATTCTTTAAGTTAATTATTGATTGCGATTAAAAATAATCTAGAAATAATCGGGGATTAATGATTAAAAGTATAATGTTTTCATTTTTTGTATTTTTATTTCCCTTTTTTGAAAATATTTTTTTAAATTCTTTTGATACTTTATAAATATCAATGAATCAAAAGTTGTGTTTTGTTGCTAACGTTCAAAGGCAATTTCATATAAATTTAAAATTTATAAACGTTAGGAGTTAACGTGTAAAATTATACAAGTTAATTTTAACGTTGATAAAAGTGCTACCAATTCAAAAATAAAAATACAAATATTAATGTGTTTATGTCAAACAATAAAAAAATATTTTAAAATAAAATTTAAATCAAAGAAAATTACCAAATAAAAAAACCTTTTCAAGAAATTGTAAATAATTTCAAGATTTAGCAGATTTCTTCTGTGGAGTGATGCCAAGTCAGGTAATGTTCGTTTTGTTGCTAACTTTAAGCGTTAACACTCATTGATAGCAACAAAACACAACTAAAATACAAATTGTATCCCAATACAATAATTTTCCTCATATATTTATTATTGTTGGTTTTTTATACACTCTTAAAACATATTGAATATTTTGAATAGTTAACAATTCAAAAATTATATTAATTTTTTTATAATTTCATTTATTTCATTTAAAAAATCGTATTTTTTAATATGATAATACAGTTGTCGGTATTACAGTTTTAACTTATCTACTATTGGCAGCACAGTACTCTCATTTGAAGTGAGCATTTAATATCAGTGTTGCCAAGTTTGCAACAAATTTTTACTACTACTTTCCAACAGTGTTGCCAACTCGATCAAGAACAAAAGCACCGTCAGTGGCTCAAAAACGGGTAAAATCTGGTAACATTTTCCAAAAATATGGATAAAAAAGCACCATTTATAATTTTAAATATTTGTACAATTATAATAAAATGTTAAAATTTAAACATTTTTCTTTTTGTAAAGTTATTAAAATTTAGATAAAAGGACCTGCTTCATATAAAATAATTCCGTTTATTAACATAAAATATTAATGGAAATAAGTCATATACATAATAACGAAATGAGTCATCGTTAAATTTGAAATACTTTGGGATTCATCATATGGTAAAACAAAAAGTTCTTACAACTTCAACAATCGAAAAAGAAAACAAAATTATTCAAATAGTTTGGAAACTTCTATCTCATTATAACATAACGTCTTATGTATCGGACTAATGGGTTATATGGACTTGAGTAAAAAGTACTAAAGAACTTCTAAGGAAGTTGTAAAAAATTTAGATAAATTTAAAAAATTAATTTTATTTTTAAAAAGCACTGTGTGAAATTGTAAAAAGCATTATAAACACAACACCCGTTGAATTTTTCCGGGTATTTTAAAAATCTCTGGTTATACGAAGCTAAAACGCACCAAAAGAATAAACGGAAAGCACCGAAATGGCAACACTGCTTTCCAAACACAACCATGTAAATTTGATGCAACTTTTTTGTCAGTTCGAGAGTAAATTTCAATTAGTACGAACGTGTTTGCGCAAAACGAATTAACTAAAAGAAATACTAATTTTTTTCATTGCTATAATTAAACAATCTTTTTTCTTCAACTATAACTAAAAAAAACACCTCATTAAGTGAAAAAGTAAAAAATATTACATAAAAAAGCAATCAATTGTCACAAAGAAAGAAAAGTTCTTTCGATTGAACGCTATACGCATAAAAAAACAAATAAAATTTAATTTTAAATTAAAAAGTAAGAAAAATGTTCTTGTTAATATAAGCGTGTGTTGTGTGTGAAAAAATTATTGAAAAATGCAACGAAATAAAGATTATTTTCATAACAAACTAAAATTTGTAGGCAAATAAATACATTTTTATAATTTATTTATAAAAATATCTATTGCAAAACTTAAAATAATATATAATTTAAAACAATATTTTAATTATTAACAAAAAACAACAATAAAGAGTATGACAGAATAAAATTGGTAGAACAAAAACAGATAAAAGAAGAATGATAAAAAACAGCATGGAATGACGTGAATTTACTTTGAATTTTTGTTGTTGTTCTGGTATGAATGGATGGATAACAAAAATAACAACAACAAATGAACAAAATGTTAAAGAACACCCTCTTTATCTGTAGTAGTTAGTAAAAATACAGAGTGTGTGTGTTTGTGAAATGACTGCAAGTTAATGGATTTGTTGTTGCAAGTCAGCAGAGACTATTAGCCATATTGTTGTTGCTAGTATTATCTGCAATTTTTGGCCATCACAACTTGCAGCAAAATAAATAAAATTTTACTTGCAAAATTTACTTTTGAGAGTCTGCTGCCTTGAAAGATTAATAAAAAGCAAACACTTTTGTTTTACCTGTTTTGGGGTTGTTTTTCATTAAAGTGTTTTTGCTGGGATTAAGTTTCTTTAATATTTGCAGATAAATTTTATTTGTTTTACTGAAAACAAGAAAAAATTTGTGCAAAAGTGTGTACTATTTTAATTATTTTCTGCTTAGGCCAGCTGCATAATAATGGCTAATTAATAGCTGCTATGTTTTTATTGTTGAAATATGATATGTTTAAAAGTTTTTATGGAAAATAATTATTTATTTTTTTTGCTGTGTAATGTAGCTGCCCATATTGACTTGACGTTCACACATGAAGTTATTAGTTCTTTTTAATTGTTTTTATTTTCATAAACAATTTCAACAAAAGGGTGGGGTTTTCTTTAGAACTATAAACAAAAAAATCTTAAGTTTAATTTTGTTATCTAAATAAAATATTTTTTCTTGTTTCTTTAAAGATTTCTAAAAATGTTCTTTGTCTTGTCAAGTTGCTTGTATTATCTTTTTTTTTTGCAACCCCATTTGCTGTTGTTATTGTATTTGTAATTTGGTCATTCACTTCATCTTTGTTTCTTTATTTTTAGACTTGTCTCTTGTTTAGTTTTATCACTGTTGATGGATGCTTTGGGGAGAGAAACAAAAAAGAGTGACAGAGTCTGTGATAGAGAGGGAAATACATAAATATAGTTTGTTTTAACAAGAATGCAAAAGTTTATCTTTAATGTGTAGGATATTATTCTGAATTTTCCATAATCTTGTAATATTTGAAATTATACAATATGCATTCTAATCCTAGATTTCTCGTTGAGATGCAATTCGAAAAATATTGCCAAGTTTTTGGACAATGGTTATTTGGAAAGGAATATCGTAAGGATGCCGATGGGTTATTTTTACAGCTATATAAATGATTTTCAAAACTTCCGCCTACGTTCTTTCCAATATCAAATACATATGGAAGTGATGCTAGTGTTTAGACAACAGCTGAACGTACTTCTTGACAATGAAATATTCCTTAGTACCCGCATAACATATTAACTACCTTTTATAAATTACTCCACCATAGTATTATATTCACAAAATATTGACATCCACCTTTAAGTACACCTTAACATTCATTTTCTGAGTCGATAAAGACGTGTTCGTCTGGCTGACCATGTAAACCTTGTGCGTAGAGTACAGGCCGTAACATATTTCTATGAAATTTGCATTATACGTGTTTTTTGGCCCAAGGACAATGTAATGCCTTTTAGAAAAAATTGTGCCATTTTTAAATTCAAGCTTTCCAAGCCTAGTGTGACTGGTTCCGGCTAAGCTTCCAACTGTGTACTGCTAGTGTTTAGTAGATTCTTTCGTGGATCCTTGCCTGAAAAAACTTCTGTTTTCTCGGGAAGGATCATAGCTTTATACATAACGTTTAGTCTGATTACTCGTTCAAAGTCAATAAATTCCATTATCAAAAAAGGGCTTATGCCTTTTTAATACTGTTCTACAAATTGCATTTTTTAAATTTTTACAAAGATATGTAAGTTAAGTAAATGTATGTAGACTAGTGTCTAAACAATAAAAAACTAAATATTTTCTAAAACACCCTTTTAACATTTAATTTTCGAAATAAAAAATGTGATAAAGTTTTTACAGTTAGTTTTCACTTTTGCTAGCTTTTTTGTTTTTGTAAAAATTTAGTTTTTCTTTCTTTACAATTTGGTGGCATTTGTGATTTTGTTTTTCTTTTTGAGAAATTTTGCAACACGTCTGTCTATAAAAACCTGCAATATGTATTGTTTTTAGCCAAATGCATGTATGAAACAATATTCATGTGAATGTAAATGTATGAAAACTAACAACTACATACAAAACATAGATACAGCTAACAAACACAGTTACACACAGATACTTTTACTTATAAATCGTTGCCCATGAACTATTCGTAAATGTAAAACAAACCGGCATCTAGTACAAAATGAATATTTTTTTCTTTACCCAAATGTACTCGTATGTGCGTGCTTGTAATTTGTATCTATAAAATCGATTCAAATTTTGTTTTTTTTTTTCTTATTTAATTTAAATTTTATTTTCGTCAATAAAAATAGAATTATTTAAAACAAATTTGTAATTAAATTACAAAAAAAGCTTAAATAAATACATAATTTAAATTTGAAAAAAATATACAGAAGAAATAAATAACAACTAACTACCTATTTTTAGTAGCAGTTTAAAAAAAACAGGTAAGAGATATAATTTATGAGATACCTTTTTCCAATAAGACAGTTCAATGCTGGAAAAATTTATGTATTAATAGATGCATTTAATATTTCTGCAAGTGATACAAATATATTTCTAACTTTTGACATTGTTTTGTCAAACCTTATTGATTTTTTCAATACTGTACTTAGTTCAGTTAAATCTTTTATTTGTTTTCTTTTATGATATTCTGAAAGCCCCAAAGTAAATAAAATAAATATTCTAGTCACAAATTTAAAAGAAATCTAGAAAATTTATACACAAACCCTCTTCTTTTTTACAATAAATTCATAAATTCACTTCAACACGCCTCACTATTAATAATACAACAACTAAACATTTATTTTTATTCACTTATTTGTTGGCTGAATGTTTGACAGTTTGGCTGGTTGGTTTGCCCATGTTACCCATGTACTTACTAGTCTTTTCAACAATTTGAGTCAAAAAAATATTTTTGTCAGCAACAGACTGTATTTAGCTTGGCTGGCTGGTTGGAAGCAATAATTAAAAACCAAATGAAATGAAAAAAGTGTTAACTACTGCAACAGCAACAACTATTACAACAAGATTTAAAATAACTTTCATTGGCATAAAACTCAATTTTTTGTGGCTGTGAAATCAAATCTTTTAATCTTTTTTTTAACATTTTTTCTTTTACAAATTTTACAATATATTTTTTTCTTTTTTTTTTTACTTTATTACAAACATTGAACTTTTTTGTTTATAATTTTACTCATACTTGTTACTTTTTTGTTTCAATAGTTTTTCTTTATTATTGTTTTTCTGAATTGTTTATAATTTTGTATTTTGTATTATTTTATTCATATCTTATCGCCTGGTCTAGTGATATGAACTGTTGTTATCTGTTAAATAGTCTTAAAGTATTTATTTTATTTTAAACATGTTGCTTTTGGCATTAGAAAAATATTATAATTGGAAATAATTAAAAGTCGTAGTAGTACACGTTTTACCAAAAAATATATGTTTCAAAAGAATTAATTTAAGAATTTTGAAAGTAAATCTTGTTAGAATTATATCATATTTAGCATTTGGACAAAAAATTACAATGATATTGTTAAGCAGTGTGTGGTGTGACAGGTTTTATCGATTCTAATCTGCTTTAAATTTAGTCCGGTTTTACCTAAGGCCGTTTTAAAAGTACTTTACAGAAATTAATATTCAATAAATACTTTCAGTAAAATCATTAAGCTTAAATAAGTTGTTGAATTTTTTCAATTAAATTTTTAAAAAAACTTTTTCTGAAAATTCTAGTTGGATATGTCCGTCCTTATAATATTTAATGCGGAATTTGGTAGATTAAAAAGTCTAGGGTATAATATGGACTATAGGTTTTTGGATAGTAGTATTTTTATTCTGCTTGGACTATAATCTTGTAATTTGTCTAGTCTTTTCTATAGTCTAGACTTTAGTCTTGTCTATAGTCTGAAATCTGGTCTTGTTTATAGTCTGTATTAGAGTCTTTTTTGTTATCTGATTTTTATTCATATTTATAATCTGAACTAAAATCATACTTAAAGTGTTCACTATAGTCATGTCTATAATCTGGACTATTGTCTATAGTCTGGAAAGTAGTCTTATTTATAATCTGCACTATAATCTTGTCTAAAATCTGGATTTTAGTCTTGTTTATGATCCGGGATATATAATTAAATTATAGTCTGGACTGTAGTCTAGTCTATTGTTAGGCCTACGATCTAGTCTATTGTCTAGACTATAGTCTGAACCATATTCTATAGTCAGGATATATACTATAGTCTATAGTCAGGATTACAGTTTAGTCAATTTTTTGGACAGCAATCTAGTTTAGAATTTGGATAAAGGTATGGTCTATAGTCTGGACTATAGTATAGTCTATAGTTTGGACTATGGCTCCGTCTAGATTACAGTCTATTCTATAGTATGGACTATAATCTAGTCTATAGAATGTACTTTAGTATAGTTTATTGTCTGGACTATAATCTTGATAATAGTCTGTACATCAAACTAGTCTACAATCTGAACTATGGGGTATAGTTCGGACTAAAGTATAGTCTATAGTTTAGACTATAGCTCCGTCTATATTCAGGATTGTCGTCTCGTCTATAGTCTGGATAACATGTCCTTTTGTCTTGTCTATAATCTAAACAATTATCTCATTTTGATTATAATCTTTAAATAAATTTGAAATGTTCAATTCATTTCATAAAATTTGCAATAAATTTATATTTATTTTTTCATAATTTGTATAACTAACAAATATTTTTGCTTGCATGTCGAGGTCAACTTAAAATATATTTCCCACTTTTTTATAAAAACATTATACACATTATTTTAATAAAAATGACATATAAAATTTAGATTTTTGTGTTATGTATAAGAATATACATACATATGTACATATAAATTGTGTCTACATGTACATAAATAAAAAAGTATATCTATATATAAAAAATACTCGTATACAAATGTTGTTTACATCATACATAAAGATGCGTTAACATATGAAAACAAACTTTAATGTGACAGACAGACAACACACTCACTTATATTTGTTGTGATAAATATTTGTTGTTTTTATTTATTCTACTCTTCATCATATTATAAATTTAATATTGTCCTAGTATAAGTATAAAACTTGTCTTTCTTATGTTGTTGTTGTCGTTTTTTAGTTGTATGACAAATCGCAACTAAAAAAGGAAGAGTATGAGAAGAGTGAAGTAAAAACGCTAAAAATCCTTTGGACTTTATGACGCCTTTTTATTGTTTTTATGTGGTTGTGCTAAACAAACTAAAAAAAAATTAGAAAGAATGACAGAAGGAAAGAAAGAAACAGTTTTATTTCTATGATGTCATGCTAAAACACTAATACAAATGAACAGACATATTATACAGTCAACGACAGAAAAAGTTTTATAGAATTTCATAGAGAATTCTAAATGTTACTAGGTATAAAAATTAAAAAAGGGCAAATGAATGACCCTGCAGGTGGAAAAGTGGCAAACATTAGATAGCTTTCTGTCGTTATATGGTCAATCACATTTTCCTGCGGTAATCGGTATTGAACTATTATCACAAACTGCAGGGTTTACATTGTTAGTTTACTGTAATGTATATAAATGTTAATATGTTTGTAAAAATATAGAGCAAAATATGAGTAACTATAAGTACTTTCACTTTTTTATATTGCTTACTTTTTTAAATATTATATCCTTTTTCCTTTTTTTATTACATAATAACGAAATAGTTTTTCAAAATCTACCATGAAATGAGATTAGATTTATTTTCTATACTTCTCCCAATTGTAAAAACAATTTAGAAAAACATATTTAAAAAAAAAACTTATTTTAACAGAAAATTTATCTCAAACATGAATTTCAGTATATCCTTGAAATGTAATTCTAATCCATATTCGAGGGAAATTGTTTCCTATACAGAAGATATTATTTGTTTAAAGGATCGTTCGTTTCCGTCACGAAAATAGTCGACATATCAACTTTTTAATTTTAGAAATTGAATACTTTACTATCGAAAACCTGTGAAATGTATGGACAGTTAAAAACTGATGATTTTTTTTATCTCCAGATCTCTAAATTTTAAATTTTAGTTCTATGTTAGTTAGAATCCTCTATTTATACCCTATACCCTCCCTACTATCGTAGGGAGTGTATTATGCGTGTGTGTTGATGTTTGTAACACCCAAAAAAGTTACCAATCGGCTCGGAATCCCATTCTGATGCAGATCTCTAAATTTTAAATTTTAGTTCTATGTTAGTTAGAATCCCCTATTTATACCCTACACTACGATAGTAGGGAGTGTATTATGCGTGTGTGCTGATGTGTGTAACACCCAAAAAAGTTACCAATCGGCTCGGAATCCCATTCTGAGTCGATTTAGCTATGTCCGTCTGTCTGTCCGTCTGTGTTCATGTAAGCCTTGTGCGCACTCTTTGCAATTTTCAAGATAATTTGATGAAATTTGGCACATACTCTTTCGTATAGCCCCCATACAAGTGTACCCCCACGAATAGGGCTTTTGAGCTCATAAATGTGTTTAAATGTTCTTGTATCACATAATAAGTCGACAAAACTTAGTTTTATATACATAAATCTTAATGATACTGCTGATTTTCGCATCAGGCCCCGTTTGACCCTATTCCCCATACAAAGTCCCCTTCATAAAATGACTTGATGCCCAAAATTCACTTATAAACACTAATATCACGATGATATTCTGCATAAATAACTAACCCTCATATAACCCCTCTTTTGGAAAATCCCTTTTTGTCAACAAATTGTCAAAATATTTTACAATTAAGGTATTAAATTAAATTTAATACTTTTTAGACAAAATCGTTTTGGATATTTACGATATCCTACTGTTCAGTTTTTTCTTGTTTTCGTGAAATGGAAGTTTTCTCTCATTCTTGTTTAACAATTTACATTCGTCCTTGTTAATTAACTTGCTGTTATTTACTTCTTTAGAAGCTATTTTTCGTTGGTTATTTATTTCTTTTATTGTTTTATTTGTTGTATTTGTTTTTCACACTACTGTAATTTCAACATCGATTTTGACAGCTTACAATATTTAGTGTCTAATGTTGTCAATTCTTATCATGGAAATTAATGTTTGATGATAACATTGAAATTATTACATACTGACCAATTGCCATGGCAAGTAGTAAATAGATAGATACACCCTATTGTATATTTAAACAATATTTTGTTTATTATTTTACATTGAAAATATTGTAAAAATTCTATTGATTATTTACTTACTGCGTTTTATTATTTATATCATTTGTATTTGTGGCTAGGTGCACTTTCACACTTATTTGATAAATAAAAATGAAACTTGTTTGTTTTACTTTTGTTATAATATAATCCTTTTATCGGCAGTTATATTGTAATGTAACCTAATTATTCTGAAATCAAACATTTATAATTGGCTAGAGAATATGGAAAAAGTGAAATTTGTTATGAATTTAAGAATTTATCTGATTCTTTTTACTTTTGTTTTGATTATTATAGAAATATTGGTCGTAGAGTTGCAAAAGTGTTTAATTCCGAGTTTTTTACGATATAAACTGTCGTTTTTAGGGGCTTCTGGACGATGAGGGTTTAAGGGGGATACAAAACTAAGTGAATACCCTAACTCTTCTTAAGATTTATAGAAGTCTTATCTTTTTTTAGTTATTTATAAATATTTATTTGTTCTTTCTTTACAATTTCAGATTTTCTTTGTTTGGTGGAAGGAAAAGAAAAAAAGAAACAAGTATTAAAACAATACTATTGTATGTGAGTTTGTGTTCTTTATAGATGATTTCAAACGCAAATCAATTCGTTTAAAGGTAAGCAAATATAAAACTTATTTTTAACTTTTAACTTGAATATATGTATAAAATGACGAATATTTATAAAATATTAATGGCTTAAATGAAATGAATTTTTATTATAAATATTTACAAAATTCAAATCAATATCTTAATTTGAATTTAAATTTTAATTTGAAATGGTGCAGTTGGTATTAAATTTATAATACCCATAGACCGACCACATCTTTCGTTTCATTTGATTCGTAAGCTCTTTTGCCTCCCTGTGTATCCATCATCATCATCCATCATATTGGCACTTGGCCAACTAGAAATTGAAAGAATAGAAAAAGGAAAACATGTAAAACAAAAACAATGCGAGAGAGAAAGAAAGAGAAAAACAGCAACTGAAAGTGCAAAGTTTATTCGGCCAAAAACAATAGATAAATAGATGGATGGATGCTGTTTGGTTTGATTAAACAAATTAAATAGATTTTTGAAAAAAAAAACTACGTAAAAATAATAGAAAATAGTTTAAAAATTTATGTATCTATTGTCTAAACACACACACTCGTACACACTTATGTATAATTAAATAGCCAATGTTATTTTTAATTTCTTTAATTACAATTACATTTAAAATTCAAATATTTAACAATTCAAATTCTATTGAATTCTATTCAATACATTGACAATTGCAAAGTATTTTTAAACATTCTAAACAAATTTCTATCATTTGGCTTTTACATCTTAAACAAGTCAACCTTTAAGTGAAAACTTTCGTTGTGTGTTGTTAAAAATACGTTTATTTTTCGTGTTGCAATAGAATTAAATTTATTAACAATTTTTTTTTTATTTTGCAACACATTTTCTATTTATTTTCTATTTTAATTTTTTTCAAATATTGAGATTGTTGTTAACACATGAAAATTTTCCAACACTTTGTTAAATATATTTGTAGTTTGTTAAAATTTAATGAATATTTTCTGTTAATTTAGCATGTGCTAAATTCCCCAAAAACAGCCGCAAAAAAATCATGTGTTTCCTGTGTTTAATAAAAATTAGAAATCAAACGGATTCAAAACTACGTAAAAAAACTTTATAAATATTTATCTATTGTATACTTTATATATACATGTGTATGTATGCATGTGTTTATCTACATACATTATACAATTTGTGGCAAAAAAAAAAAAAAAACTGTTTAAAGTTTGCAGTTTTTCCTTTTTTAGACTAATTATTTTGCAATTAAGTTTATTTTGTTGTTTATTTAATTTGCAAGAGGATTTTTTTAATTGAAATTATATTTTTATTGCCAAATATAGTTATGAAAACTTAAAACAATTCCGCAAAAACTATTTTAATTATTGTTTTCGAATTTTTAGAAGTTTTAAATTGTTGTAACCTTGTTTAAATGCTTAAACATTAATATTCAGTAACTTCCATAAAATTTCATTAGAAAAAAATCGGTTACCACCTGAAAAACATGAAATTCTCAGAAATAGGTACCAACGTTATGTAAAGATAAACATTTTTGACTGGTCTCAGAGCAAAGATAACATTTTTGAAATATTTTCTATAGCACAATCTAGTCAGCATATGTATAGCCAACAGATTTATTAATTTAATAATAAAATTTCAAAATACTTAAAGTATTGGATACTATTTGTAATGGAATTTACTTCAAAATAATTATAGAAATAAAATTACCCCAGTGACACAATCAACTTAAATTGCATCTAATAGCAGATATTATTAGTAATGCAATTGAATCATCGTAAGATTTTATAAATCTCTTTATAATATTATTATTTTATTATTGGACAAAACAATATTGCTTTGTTTTAGTAAATAATTAATCATTTATATAATACAATAAAAAACAATATAATAAGATCATTTATCTTTATTTACATATTTTAAGTACAAACACTACTTAAGTCGAAGTAAAATGAGTTTGTCATTCGGTAACAGCCGATACGGAATAGAATGTTGTATTGAAAATGAATTACAATCCTGTCTGATTCCTGACTACATATCAGTATTGCCACTTCATGTGTAATTACACATATTGTGTGTAATTATTATTTCCATGTGTAGCCCATGTGTAATTGGTTTCACGTGTAATTTATGTGTAATTTAAAATTTTTTAAATCCTTCTGTAGAAAAGAGTTGGGAGAGTATATTGGGTTTGCGCTGATGTTTGTATCGCACAATAATATTTGTGCTACACCCACCCAGCAAAAATAAAACGAAGTACTTCCAAAAAAGTAACATTTATCACCACTTCAAAAGTAGCACTGATTGAATTTTTTTACCTTCTGAGGAAGTGATGTTTTAAGACTTCCGAAGAAGCGAATATAATTATATTTTTTCAATGTTGAAGATATATTTTGTGTTTTTATATTTTTATCAGATAAAAAAATTTATATTTGGGCTTTTGTATTAAATGTGTCTATTATTCTAATTAATGTTAATATTATATAAGTCAAATTAGTTGTATTCTATAATACTACAATTTCACTTCCGGAAAACTTCAAAAAAAGAGCATTGAAGTAGTGAATTTGAATTCAAATAAAAAGGACATCCCTCCGGTGACAAGCCTGTGTTAAAATCATCACTTCTTCAGGTCTTTTTCAGTACTTCCATGGAGTAAATTCTACTTTTTTCGCTTATTTTAAGTTCTTTTTTGCTGGGCACCTTAAAGTATACTAATCATAATCACTTTCTGAGTAGATTTAGCTCTGTCCATCCGTCTGTCCTTGTAATCAATTTTCGATATAAATTTATGAAATATTGCACAATTTTTCTTTTGGAAATGGTTAAAATCGCTGCATTATTTTATTAAGCCACCCAATAAAGAAATAATAATTATGATAATTTAGTTTAAAGTAGAATTTTTTAAGAACTGAAATGAATTATATATATCCGGAAGTTCACCGTTGTTACAGTTATTAGTTCTTAGTTTAATAACGAAAAAAGTGGATCACTCTTTAAATACGTAATTATGAACCCTATATGAGTTGATATAATGGATTTTTATCATTCGGAATAGACTTCGATCGCACTTGTGCTAAAAGACTTTTATTTTTCAAAATATCTTAAAAATTGCTATCTGTACCGTGCGAACAAGGAGCATGTGTAATTTTTCTTTAAATGTGTAATTTAGAAGCCTAATAAGTGTAGTTTCTAAATTTGTTGGTGGCAACCCTGCTACATATATTCAATAGAACAAACTAAAGTCTATACTACAGACCATAGTTCAGATTGTTCAGACCAGACCATAGTTCAGATAATAATCCATACTATAGTTCTGACTATAATCCAGACTATAATGTATAGTATAGTTCAGACTATAGTCTATACTATAGTCCATACTTTAGACCGGACTTTAGTCTATACTAAAGTCCAGACTATATTATAGTTCAGACTATAGTCAATATTTTATATATAATACAGTCTATACTATAGTCCAGACTATAGTATATACTATAGTCCAGACGATAGTATATACTATAGTCCAGACGATAGTATATATTATAGTTCAGATTATAGTCTGTATACTCCATACTGCAGTCCAGACTATAGTCTATACTAGGGTCCAGACTACAGTCAAGATTATAGTCTATACTATAGTTCAGACTGTAGACTATACTTTAGTCCATACTTTAGTCCAGACTATAGTCATCACTATTGTCAAGACTATAGTCCATACTACAGTCTAGATTATAGTCCAGATTATCGTCTATACTATAGCCCAGACTATAGCCTATACTATAGTCCAAAAATATAGCCTATACTATAGTCCAAAACTATAGCCTATACTATAGTCCAGACTATAGTCTATACTATAGTCCAGACTATAGTCTATACTATAGTCCAGACTATAGAGTATACTATAGTTCAGACTATAGTCTATATTATATACATACATATTCCAGTCTACAGTCTATATTATAGTCTATACTATATTCAGACTATATCCAGACTACAGTCTATACTATAGTCCAGACTACGGTCTAAACTATAGTGCAGACTATGGTCTATACTATAGTTTATACTATAGTCTATACTTTAGTCCAGACTACTGTCTATACTATAGTCCAGACTACGGTCTATATTATAGTCCAGACTATAGTCTATACTATAGTCCAGACTATAGTCTATACTATAGTCCAGACTATAGTCTATACTATAGTCCAGACTATAGTCTATACTATAGTCCAGACTATAGTCTATACTATAGTCCACACTATAGTTCAGACTATAGTCCACACTATAGTTCAGACTATAGTCCACACTATAGTTCAGACTATAGTCCACACTATAGTTCAGACTATAGTCCACACTATAGTTCAGACTATAGTCCACACTATAGTTCAGACTATAGTCCACACTATAGTTCAAACTAATATAAACTCGCCACATATAAATATAGCACACTTATTTAATAATACATTATGCAAGAGTTATAAATATTCATCTTTATTAATTAATAACTCCACATAACTAATATTTCTATGCTTATTTGTTGTTACATATTAATTTTTAAATTAAAATTTGTTGCAACAAAGTCCATGGCAGTCTTAGAGGAGAGTATCAATAAATTGAACGTTGGCTGGCACAAACTGACTGACTGGTTGATTGTGTAATAAACACCCAATTGAAAAAAAAAGTTTATTAATTTCTTTTAATTGTTTTTTTCTGTTTCTGTTGAAGCAGCAAAACCAACTGAAGGTTATAAACAATTTAAATACTTGAAAATTATTGGATTTTAAATGTTAAAAAAAAGTGAAAGGGGGAGTGAGGGAGGTGGCTGCCATACTTTTTTATTATTGAACTGTTATTATTTCCTCTAAAATATATACACGCACAGAAATTGCAGGCCAGAGCCATAAAAAGAATTCTATATTATTTCACAAAATGAATCATTACATGCTGAATTTTTTGTTAAGTACTCGTGTATACAAAAAGTTATTTAGGTTTTGCCATTTATGGATTTTTAGAACGTTTAACGTTTTTTTTTTTAATAAACAAAA